AAACTCAAAATATTACAAGAATAAACTCTTGATTTACAAGAATAAACTCGTAATATTACGAGAATGAACTCATAATATTACAAGACTAAAATCAAAATATTACAAGAATAAACTCATAATATTACAAGAATAAACTCATAATATTACATGAATAAACTCATAATATTGCAAGAATAAACTCATAATATTATGAGAATAAATTCATAATGTTATGAGAATATAGTTGAAATATTAAGAGAATATGTTTGTTATTTACCTTAATAAATTTGTAATATTATGAAAATAAAGTCATAATATTATGAGAATAAAGTCATATGTCCTGGGTCTGCTTGCACCTGTTGTGGACAACCTTCATTGTGTGTCACTGTGTTTATGAAGCAGTCTGCAATCACTTTTGGATCACTGTTTGTGAAATATGCCTCCATGCACATTATGTCACAACTTAATCCTCAATGCAGCCATTAATTACAATGTCATACGACTTCAGTGCCTGATAAGAATCCATTTGCCACAGTATGTCGGGCCCCCTGCTATTGTACCGTCAACCTCAACATTCATTATTTTACTGCAGTTGTAAGACAGAATTTTTGTCTCATAGTTCTGATAATATTATGACTTTATTCTGGTAATTTTACAAGTTTATTCTCATAATACTACACATTTATTCTTGTAATAATATGACTTTATTGTTGTATGACTTTATTCTTGTAATACTTTGACTTTATTCTCGTTCGTAATGTAATTTATTTATTTTTCTTAGCGTGGCCCTAATACTCCGTCGTGAGTTCCTGTCTGATTGCACATGTTTATTTTCAAGATTAAAATTTTTAAAAGCAATTCTCTTTTTTCCCCACTTTAATTTTTATTAACATTTTTATTAGTAAATAACATTTCAAAGATAAAGCACATACATTCTCAAGATTAGGGTAGCCTAAGCAGGCATTATAACAATAATAATTTAAAAAACAACAAAAAATTACACACACGTACACATACATACACATATAACAATAAAATTTAAATTAAAATTTTAAAAAATCTCAGTCATAAGGGTCTCGAGTCTAGAAATTCCTATGTTTATGGTAATGAATTCCTTAAAAGCAATTCTAAATAAGATGGTCCTCAAATAAATTTATGACACAAATATCAGGGAGTATATGTATAACTTCAAGGAATTGTGTTTTTTTCTTTTTATATTGTTTTTTATGGGGGGGGGGGGTTCCTGCCTAATATGGAATTTTACTTTTGTATTTCTCTCACATAATAGTTTCAGATAATTTTGAACTGTTTCTCATTTGTTTTTGTGAGCTTGTTCATTTTCTTAAGGGTCGAACCTTCCTGTTCAGAGAAAGCTCATGAAAGAATTAACAAAAACAAACCAATAAACAAGTCCAGTGTGAATAAACTGCAGCAGCCTACTAGAAAACTTGGATTTAAAACTGAGTAAAACTCTTGGCTAAATAGGAATTTGGTGATGGGCTGTGTTTGTGCCAACATGACAAATGTAACCTATAAAATCGATGCTTTTTTGTTGAATTTATTCTTCCCCTGCTCATGTTCCTTGTGTTTGTGCATGCATGTGTGGATGCACAAACTCCTTACACATGTATGACGCATCTGTGCCCCAATGCGAGGGTCTGTTCCTGCCACGGTTATATTAATGATGCTGAGAAATATCTGCTTCTGCGGTGGCAGCAGCACCGACTCGGTGTCCTGTGCACGTGAGGTAACCATCCAGGCTAGCTGCATGACTGATGGTGGTCCCATCGATTGCTCTCAGTCTTTGGTGCTTCCAGCCAAGTTTGGGCCACCGGCCAAGAGCAGCTTGGCCTGGCTAATCTGTCACCAGGCTGGCCGGAGCAGCCTTCATAAGCTCCATCGACCCACAAAGCTTACACAGTGTGTGCTAAAGCCTGTCCTCCCCAGCCTCACTGTCCATTAGTCTTGTTGCTTTAATCTTCCTCTATCTGTGTGTCTGTGTCAGCTAGTCAGGGATTGATTCATTATAAGTGCCAAAGGATTTAAGTTGACTTTGCTCGTAGGTAAGCTCTGAATACTTGTTTACACTGAAACAGATTAGTAAAGCTATTCTTATTTACACATTATAAATAAGTCACTATCTTTTTTACAGTAAATACAATGGGTTTCGAAGGCATTCCTCCCTCTTGGTATTGTTTGTTTTGTTGCCTACCAATGTGGAATTCAAATTAATTTTTGAATTTGTTCATAAGAAAAAAAAGAGCAAACATATTTCAGATTAATGAAGTTAAATAGGGAGGGAAATTGTTGTAAACAATGCTAAAAAACATTTGCAAAGCACCAAAGTCCATGCTCAATAATCCAGGTATAAAATCCAACAATGTTCAGTCTGGTCATGTGGATGGTTTCTTTATTGTGCTGAGACGTTTCACCCTCCATCTGGAAGCTTCATGGGGCCATCCATATGGCCCCAGAGACCATCTTAGCACCAACATGTCTGTTTTTTTCCACCTTGGAGTAAGCTGTTGGGGGGAAAGCAGTTTTGTTTGGTGTTTCCTGAAACTGATGAAGCCTTCTGGATGGAGGGCGAAAATCTCAGCACAAAAAAAAAAAGAAACCGTCCAGACGACCTGACTGAACATTGTTGGATATTACAGAATGATGCAGCCATATCTACTCCACTCACATAATCCACCTTTTGCAGCAGTTCTTGCTATAAATATCTTCAGTTCATCTCATGATCTTGGTCCATTTAATGAGGGTTTTATTTTCTTCAGATCAAACTGCTGCATGTCCTTCATGTTGGGTGGGTGCTTTTTGTGGCAACGCTTTAAATCTAATCAGAGTCTCTCCATTGTATTCAGGTCCGGGCTTTGACCGGACCAATCCAGGATTTTCCGAAAGACAGATTCCTTCTCTGTATTATGCTTCATCCATCTTTTCTTCAGCTTTTACCAGTTTCCAAATCCCTGATGATAAAAACATGTCCCACAGCATGATGCTGCCACTACCATGCTTCACTGAATGGATGTTTGTCTCATCAGGATACGTTTTGTTTCTACCAGACATGGGGTCATTCTTGATAGGCTAAAAGTTTGAGTTTAGCCTCACCTCACCACTGCATTTTATTTTTTAATTCATTCAACTTTTATTTACAGATAAGTCACAATGAGCCTCAAAGACTCATTTACAAGTGAAATCTGTTTGGACAAACAACAAAAAGTGGTGAAAAGTGACACATAGGTTTTGGATACAAAAAATACATTCCTAACATGCTTTTAACCTCTGTTTGAAGGTTAACAGTGTAATCATGAAAAAAAAAATCTTACACACGAGCACATAATGATGCTGACATTACAGGGGGGACACAAGGACGGTGAGCATGTCCAGAGACAACACACAGAGGTACTGCAGAGTTCAAATAAAATCACTCAGTTCAAATAGTTCCCTCTGGAGAGATTCGTACACAATCGGGGAGAGCCGAGGACGACAAAGACGAATCCAAAAAGTCCTGAAATTATGACAGAATGTTTATTCAGCTGGGCTCCTCTGAAAAGTCCATTGAAATTCCTCAGTAGGAGGAGAGGGAGGAGCATAGCATCAGGTTTACAAAACTTTCAGGCAGGTTGAGATAAGATGGCCTGTCAAGGCCAGTCAGGGAGCCGAGTTCAGATAAACACGATTGTTTTGGGGACAGGCAGAACTTTTACTGACTTCTACCTTGAGTCTTTGTGGGTTCACTCAATTCCGAAACGTCCAAATTAAATGGCCACACCAACGGACCGTGCCTGAGAAAAATCCCAGAGATCTGATCCATTCAGCCAAAAGCATCTGAGTCTGGGTGCTCGAGGAATGAACCAAGCCATCAGAAAGGCAAGCAGCGTGATCGGGTCCAAATTTGCTGTTGACAACTTCCTTGAGTGCAGATAAACCAGGAACCAGTTGTCATAAATCCAATTATAAATGTGTCTTTAAAATCCACAGATGACAGCAAAGATAGCACGTCATCAAGTCTTCCAAGTCGATGAGATATCCAGTTGTGTGCGTGCCAACAGGGCAAATCGGCTCGCCTAAAGCCTGTCTTCTCTTCGAAGAAATGTTACCAATTGCACTGAGGGACCAACTGACCAAATCCAAGTCCATACCTATGATTCAGAAGATTTGTAGAAGAGAGACTCTAAAGTAGTTTCACAGACAGGACAGAGCAAAAGCAAAGTGGAGAGGGAGAGGAGGTGAAGACGTCCACCACACACCACACAAGAGCAAGTTTTGAAGTGAAAATCTTGTTTCATGTTTGTGGCAGACATTCCCACAGTCCAACTTTTTTTCTTTACTCAGTCTCTCTTTCGTGTCACTCTTCTATAAAGTCCAACTCTGTGCAACATCTAGTGGGTCAATGGACACATCTTGCCACCTCTGCAGAAGAACTGCTCAGATCTTTTAGGGTTATCTTTGGTCTTCTGGAGGTTTCTCTGATTTTGCTATGTTTACCAACTCTGTGGTAGTTGAGCCTGTGTTGGTATCTGTGGTGGCATCTTCTTTTCAGTTCCTAATATTAACCTTAATGGGGCATGGTACGATATTCAGAGTGTCTTTTATTAGCCCAACCCTGACCTGTATTTCTCCATGGCTTTGTGTCCTACCTGCGTGGAGAGATCCTTGGACTTCATGCTGTTTTTTTTTTATTTTTCTTATTGGTAAAACTTAACACCTAGACATGTTGTACTGGTGTTGCTCAGTTTAACACAGATATGACTAGACTGATCATTTGACACTCAGATTGCTCACAAGTGTCTCACAACTAAGTAAAAAAAAAAAATCCCATTTCACTTTATTAAGCTGAACTTGATGTATTTATTTTTGTAGACTTTTTTCAATTAAAGTCAAATAGAAATTCCACACTGTTAAAAAAACTTAAATAATTTCAGCAGGGATGAATACCTTCTCAGCCTACTGTAAAAATACAAGTGGAGCTTAGCGTAAATGTTAATTAAGGTTTCATTGTGTGTCTGTGTGTGCAGCACCGTGTCCGAGGACGGGTCAGAGATCTTTTTGAGCCCTACAGTCACATATGGCCCCCCAGGCCTGGACCTGTCCTTTCCAACAGCCATGACCATAGCTCATTGTGCCGAAGCTGCTGCTGAGAACTGGAGCATCAGATTAAAGAGACAGAGCCCAGACAACAAGTGGGAGGTGAGACTTTTTTATTTTACCTGCAGTTAAAAGGTTTGCGGGGTGTTTTTCTGTCAAAACTTCAGGACTGAATACTGAATACTAAATACTTAACGTTTTCTCCAGCAGCTAAATGTGATAAGCTGCTAGAACTTCCTTTGATGACAATTCTTCACCCAGCACTGTAATCATGCAAGCATGGAGCTGATTTTAAGGTTGCCAGCTCACATTTATCATTCTGCATATTATCTAGTCTTCCAACCTCTGCCTTGTTACTTTATATCCAAAAGATATGTCAGAATAAATGCAAACGACAGCTTTTACCACCCTTAGATTTTCTTTTTCCCAGGTAATCATGCTATTTTAAATCCTCACTCTTTTACAAATCCTTCTTGGATATGATTAACAAAACTAATTTGAAAAATACATCGTCATGTATCCACTGTGTTATATAGCTTTGGAAACAACAACAATACTCTTTATTGTGACCTCTAAACTTGTCTTTTTCATTTCAGTATCTACTAAATAGATGTTTTTGCTTCAACATTCCAACATTTCATTTTCAGCTCGATGACTGTGTGGAACGTCTTAACAATAGAATAATAAACTAATAATAAAATAATAATTGCTTTTTTCTTTGTAACAATATCTAGCCAGAGATAAAACATAATGACTTTGACACAAAGATGGTTCATCTGCAGTTCAAGATCCAGCTATCCCCCCAAAAATATATGTTTTTTAACAAGTGTCTGAATGAGCTATGATTTAAAAACAAGAATATCTACTGACTTGATTATAAATAAATAAATAAATAAAAACTGTCAAAAGGTACATGAAATCTCATTGGGCTTCCAAAAGTGAATACGAGATGCAGGCTTATCTTTTGAAAGATTTAAGAGTCGACTTTTCTGAAAGCACTGGGGTGTTGTTTTAGTGATTGTCACTCTAATGGTCTTCTTACATCTGTGTATTTTAATAAAATAACAGCTCTAAGAAGACCGAGTATCTTTACAGTCCCACACAAGAGCACTCACACATGTGTCCTAATCTTTTTTGAAGGGTCCAAGTGTCTCAGCAATGAATTACCTTTTTACTGCCTTGTTCAAAATTGCATCCTGCATCTCATTGCGCAACTTTGAAATAAAACGTACAAATTATTTATCATAATATGCGGCTTGATCAGGAACAATGTGGTATGATATTTGGCAGATCATTGCAAAAGGTAAACAAAATTTGCAACAAAAAAATTTTTTTGAGAAACTATATAATGGAAATCAACAGGGTTTTAGCAAAACAAACAACAAAACTCAGCCCATTATGGACATTTATTACTCAGATACTTCACAATAGAAACATCGTTCCAGGTTTGAACGGGTCACAGAAAGTCTGAACTGGCATTATAATATACATTAGTTTACATTTTTTTACAGAGAGTTTAGGATTGGTGATGTGTGCTCATGTTTTACAGAATGTCCAGCTCACAGTTGATGTCCCACAAAAAGGTTTGAACAGTAAAAACAAATGTCAGATCTTTTTCAAACATTTCTTACTTCTACAACTCTTTCTGCCACTTGTGTCAAAACAGGCAGGATGTCTTTTTTCACATACTCTCTCTCAGTGCGCAGCGGTCCCCAAACTTTTTTGTGCCACAGACCAGTTTAATGTCAAACAATATTTCTATGGACTGGCCTTTAAGGTGTGGAGGATAAGTATCGTATTTTTCTGACTATAAGGCGCACTTAATCAGGTGCACCTTATGTATTTATTCTGATTGTGCTTACAGACCTCAAACCGATTTTATGTTGTTATTGTGAATGAGTTGAATAAAGTTTGACTTATCGGCCTGTTTTGTTTCACTTAATGTGTCTTATAATCCGGTGCACCTTATAGTCCAAAAAATACAGTACAACAAAATGAAATGATACAAAAGGCATAAACACGTATATTTTCTAAATCAAATAATAAATATGAATCCACTGTGTATGCCAGCATTACCCTGTGAGTGACATAATGCGTAGACTCACATTCAGGTGCAACTTCCTTAATCCGACCAGTTAAACCAGACGGCTGTCCGGTCATGGCAGCAGCTCTGTCTGTGCATATGCCGACACAAAATGACCATTTCAGTTTTCCTGATATATAATCATCCAGTGACTTGAATAATTCTGTGGCTGTGGTTCTGGTTGGCAATGATAGTGCACATAACATATCCTCATGCACATCGATAAGCAATAATGGATTATGTGTTACTGGTGGGAGCAGTCCCTTTAAGAAGGTACTGGTAGCCATGTGACCGAGGCTTGACCTGCGTCAGGAGTGAGTCATACACAGATGTGGCGGGGACAACCTGGTAATTTTCCAAAATAAAACATCGTTCAGAATCAGATACTAAATAAAACGGAAATAATCTAAGTTATGTATTCTGTCTGTGTGGCCCGGTACCAATTGACCCACGGACCGGTACCAGTCTACGGCCCGGGGGTTGGGGACCACTGTCCCTATCTTACTGTCTTTTTTCAAGCTATTAAGATAAATCAGTCTCAAAAGTAGTCACACAAGTTTACAATTAGATTCGTACACGTACAATAAGATCCACAAGTATACCACAAGTTTTAAAAACGCGTACTACAAGAATCATAAATGCTTCAACAGATTTTCAAATGTGCACATTACAATTTGAACTTCTTTCAGTTGTTCCCTCTTCAGGGGTCGAAACAGAGTCGTCCTCCTCCATCTCACTCTGCCCATTTCAAACTGAACAAGTAGGAATTTTCTGTGCATACAAATTGTCAAGTACACGTGCAAAAATCCCCTGCTGAGGACGTAACAGTCAGCACGAGTGCACGGATCAGCTTGTCTGTGAATGTGACTTTTGAGAGTTTCTTTCAACTCCAGATTCACAAAATGCTGCATTCAGGGCTGGTAAGAAGCCGGGACGTCTGAGCCTTACCAGATTTTTTTAATTATTGGGACAAGACACATTTCTAACTTGTTATAATAATTCAAAACCCATATATTAAAATGCATAAACTTACCTTAAAATTAGTGGGGTCCAAAAACATTAATTCGGGAAACTGTATGCTTGAAATAAACAACCTAAAATGAAACAAATATATTTTCCTGTCCAGCAATTTTCTGTCAGGTCATCTGGACAGTTTCTTTTTTATTTTATTTTATTTTATTTTGGTGTGTTGAAACATTTCACCTTGCTTTTTCCTTTTTTTTTTTTAATCCTTTCCGTTTTCACTTTTCTTCCTTCTGGGTATTTTCCAGAAAAATATATATTCTGGTATTTTTAGCAGAGCAAGAAAATCCTAGAAAATACTTTTTTTTTTGTTTTACAAGTGGAAGAAGTCCACAAAATGTACATTTCAAAACTAACTAAAAATTAACACCAAGATTTTCAACATTAGAACTGGAGGCCAGATTAATGTAATTTAAGGATGGCGAAAGACTGAAACATTTATTCCTAAAATGCTCACATCCCAAAAAGCACAACCTCAGTCTTGTCTGTGTTCAAAAGCAGAAAATTTAGGGTCATCCAGGTTTTTATGTCTTTAAAGCATGCTTGTAGTCTAGTAAGGGTGAGATGTCCCAGCTTTTTTCCAGCCTTGAATGCAGCTTTATCTTTGTGAATTTGGAACGGAAAGAAAGTCTCAAAAGTTACATTGACAGACAGCTGGTCTGTGTACTCATGTTGACTGATTCGTCCACAGCTGATGATTTGTGCACGTGTATTTGACTATATGCATACACAGAATATTCCTACTTATGCAAATTGAAATATGTACATTTGAAAATCTTATGCATTTGTGAATCTTGTAGTATGCATTTGTAAAACAAAAAACTTGTAGTATGCTTGTGGATCATATTATATGCGTACAGATCTCATACACTTGTGTGACTACTTTTGAGACTGACTTATCTTGACACAAATCTCCTGGAATGAACAGTGAACAGTCAAACTAAAGTTGGACTGTTCACTGTTCATTTAACATATTGTTAGATTTTAGCTCAACAGATTCTTATAACTGTAAATGTTTTTTGGGGTTTTTTGACTTGTCATAGTTTCTACATTAAACATTGGAGATACAAAGTGGGACCCTCAGAGTGCATGTTCTCTCCGTGCATGTGTGGGTTTTCTCAAGGTACACCGTTTTCCTCGAACAAACCAAAAACATGCATGTTAGACTGATTGGTAACTCTGAATTGTCCCTAGGTGAGAGTGAGAGAGTGAATGGTTCTTCATCTCGTTTGTCTCTATGTGTCCCTGTGATGGACTGGAGACCTGTCCAGGGTGTCCCCCGCCTCTCGCACAGTAATGGCTGGACATGGGCACCTATGACCCCCGTGACTTGAAAAGGAACAAGCGGGTAAAGATAATGGATGGATGGATGGTTACAACAAACTTCCATCCACTCATTATCTTTTACCCATTTCATCCCTTTTGGGTCACGGGCACAACAATCTTAAAAAGTAGAAAGTTTCTTATTTAGAGCTAATCTCAGCTCCTGATTGAGGATCGTTGCATTTCATGTTTTTACTGAAAATTGACTGTTCACATGGTTGAATTAAAGTTTACTCAGCACAAGTCCTGCAAGTGAAAACCTCTCTGGTGAAACAGAGACGTGTCCTACTGCTAATCCTGGCAGTTGGGGATTTTATTTCTTACTTTAACCAGTTTGATGGATCAAGATGGAGGGAGATGCACACATTTTGTCAGAGAAGCTGGGCATGCCCTGGGCACCTTAATTTCTAGAAAAACGCTGAGAATGCTCCAAGTTGTTTTTTTTACATAAAATAGGTCTTCTGTCAACAGAAGCATCCCAAGTGGAAATGCGTCATTAGGAAATATCTTGTGTCACTACTAGGTGCTGGTGTGAAAAATCAATAAAAGCTGTGAGGGTGGTGTTATATCTTTGAAATTATAAATTTTATCTTGAAATTGAAGATCCAAAATCACTGCATGACTAGTTGCTATGGTGACAACAATGAACTACTAGCAGCTACTAATGGTTCAATTTAGGGGTTTGAGGGTTCTCAGTACATTTTTTGTTCAGTTCAAACATCAAATTGATAGTTTCTCAATATTTTTTAACAAAGTTATATATGCGTTTTAAAGAAAACCCATCAAATGTTCTTAAACAGTTGGCTGGATCTTTTTCACATACAGCTTTGGTGGGAGAATCTGGAATGCTCTTTAATGTTTAACTAACCTCATCAAAAAGCTTTGGCAACCTCATTGTGTCAGAGTGACCCCAGAAGCGCAGGGTTTCCTTGAATTGAGGGAGGGGGTCTGTGACTCTGTACCACTCTGGTCCTTTCACTCAGTGTGACATTTACACAGATGTAATTTGCTAGCGGATGTGGGAGCTATCAAAATACCCATCACTGATGGGAGCTTTGTCCCAGCACAGAGGAGAAAATGAAGCGATGACACAGACTGAAAGGTGGAGGTTGGTTCAGGCGAAGAATATATCCTTCAAATGTAACACTGTGGCCCATCTCTGTCATTGAGAAATAATGAGCTCTTTATCTCAGGAAGGGTGCTTACTCAAAACCTAATCTTTGGAATTAGTGATATAACAGGAGATGGAGCTCTGTCCTCATCTCTTTCACCCTGTCTGCCTTTAAGCACCATTCCCATTTAAGCCTGCACTTTTTTACACTTGTTTGACTCTCATCTCTCCCGCGGCCACCTGGTGGAGATGAGCTATGCCGTGGTTATCCGTCATGTGTGCTGCAGCACTAATGGGGCAGGTTTAAGAAGCTGCAGGCCACAAAATTATTCTGCATTGCTTTAAATGCCTCAGCTGGGTCATTTGTAGAGGGTACCACTGGGTCACAAGTATGTTCTAAAGGTGATTCAGGGAGAATTTACCGCACAATGAGGAGCAATTGGCCATTGAATACAACAGCACCTTGCTAATTCATTTTGTCAGTGTTACTGGATCCCCATCTGTTTAGAGAGATGTGTCATTATTCATTTGGCCCTTGTTCAGCCTTGCACAGCTCCTTATGCCAGTTTCCTGGAAGGTTTCCAGTTTATTGTCTCAAATACAAATAGAATCTTATAGATACAGATTTTTAGACCGAAGTCCTGTTTCAGTGGTCCTAAACTTTGATTGTTTGCATGCTTATTGACGTTCATGAGTGGGTTTTTTTTTCCTCTAAAAACAAACTACAAAATCATTATTTAGTTAAATCTCTTTTGGAAACATGTTGATCCTATTCAGGTCAACACAAGCTAACAGTAATCATTTGCTGAAACTGATACAACCAAATACCCTTTGGGGTCAATCCAGTTCAAGATGGCTACAACAGCCAACTGACCTTAAATACAAAAATGACTAATATTAAGTCTATGTTATGACAGAGCTTTAGGGCCATGCTAAAAATATAAAATACATTGCCACTCTGACAACAAAAAAATTAAAAGCCATAAAATTACAAGAATAAAGTTGTACAAGACTTCTTTTTATTTATTTTTTTTACAGTTCTTTGTTTTGTTTTTTGATTTGGATCCACGACATGACCTGGCAATCAATCCAGTAGGCGTGTCATCACATGACCAATCCGAAGTTAATGCTCCTATGAGTCGCTGCATCTAGTCTTCAGCCTGTTTCAAGAAGGTATCTGTGCAGACAAATTCGAAAGGCGTATCTGGGGGGGCCACATCTTATTGGAAGAGGCCTATCCGGGGGGGCCACATCTGATTGGACAATAGAAAAATGGGCTTGTCTAGAGGCCACATCTGATTGGACGGTAGAAAAATGGGCGTGTCTGGAGGGCCACATCTGATTGGACAAAAAAAAGGCTGACCAAAAAAATAGCCGTTTCTGTTAGCCACAGACATATTGTATCTAAAAAGAAGGCATTATTGGCAGATTGTGTTAACCACAGACATATTATGTCTATGGTGTTAATCAGTTCGACATTAGCGGCGTCTCAGGTTCAATATTGGCGGCGTCTCGGTTCGACATTAGCGGCGTCTCCAAGGACCATTCATCACTATCTTTGCTATAATCTTTAGCAATAACTGTTGGACCCGACCCAGTTTGTAAATTATTTCATGATCCTCTGGACAGATTTTAATGAAACTCTCAAAAGTGTAATTGTTTGATGTACATCTACAATTGATTGACTTTTTGTCAATCCAATTCAAGATGCCGATCACAACTAAGCACCACTAGCCAACACAATAATGGACTGAGCTAGGTCTTTCACAGGTTATAATACTGAACTATAAAGGAGATTTGAAAACAGACAGAATTTGTATGATGCTGATGATAAGAAAATGGAGACTCTGAGGCTAAAAGAAGGTTGGGAACAGGTGACAGCGGGTGTGGCAGGACTGCAGGATCTGAACTGAGATATAGAACTGAAGTTGCAGGGGAACAGAAAGTCAATCTTGAAAACAAATTAATAAACCTAGCAATAAAACACAGAACTACCAAAAGTATTTTTAAAAAGTCAGATGCTGACAAGTTTGATTAACACGTAAATGGTTCAGATTTAATGCTGTAACAGCTGAGAGTCATTCACAACATATACTTTGTGCATATTTTGTGAGATTGCCCATATTTTCCGTTTCATCAAATCAGCTATAACCCTGTCATTTCTCAACATAAGCTAATCATAGTCTAGAACATTTGCATGAAAGACAGAAAGCTATATCCATTCCTTTAACTAATGTTAAGTTTTTAATGGATTATTTAAATATAAAATACACAATTGACCTAAAAATGATGAGTCATATCAAAATCTATCAATAAACAAACTCTAGTGTTTCTTGATTTTTCTCTTGTTTTTTCACCTCCAAAGGAAGTGATGTCTGTAGATGAGGAGAGCACTTCCTGCTATTGTCTGCTGGAGGCCCATAGATGTCATGTGCTACTGGGGCAGCCGGGACAATATGCGCTGGTGGGGAAGCCTTTGAACCAGGAGGCAGCCAAGCGACTCCGGCTGGCAGTGTTCGGAAGTTCTGATTCCAGCAACTCTCTGGGATTCACCCTTCGGGTGTACTGTGTGGATGACACACCCCATGCTTTTCAGGTATGTTTAATTCTGAACGTTAGGAAACGCCTTGTAACTGTGACTTTCCTTCCCTCCATTGACTATGGCAACATTATTTACATGAATGCTCCTAAAATCACCCTGCAGATGGTGGATGCTGTCTATCATGGTGCGCTAAGATTCATAATTGGCTGTAACTAACATACCCACCATTGCACCCAGTATTCACTGATTAACTGGTCATCATTAACTTCACGCAGACTCTCTCTGAATTATTTTCATCTTTAAATCACTTCTTGGTCTGTTGCCTTCATACATCTCCTCCTGCATGTCACTTTGTGAGTGCAGTCACCGCGTGCACTGTCAGGACATTATTACCTGCAGTGTTCCCTCAGTGCAGACCGAACTTGGCAAAAGGGCCTTCTTCTACTCCGCTCCTGTTTCCTGGAATATCTTGCAGAAAGATTTGAAGCTCTCGACCTTGACCTCTCTAAGTGGTTTCGAACATCTGCTAAGTTCCTGGGAAAAAACAATGCAGACATGTTCCTGTTTTTAGTTTTCTACACCACTTTATAACGTAGCTGTTTTTTTCTTCATTCTTTTAACATCATTTTCTTCCATTTATTTTTCAATTTATATACTTTCTTTTATGATTGTCTACTGTTGTCATCATTCTTTGCTAAAATCAGGTCTCTCTTGTAAATGAGTCCTCGCGGCTCAATGAGACTTTTTCTTCTTCTTCTTTCGGTTTTTCCCTCTTGAGGGGTCGCCACAGCGAGTCATCCTCCTCCACCTCATTCTGTCCTCTGCATCCTCTGTCCTCTCTCCAACTATCTTCATGTCCTCTCTAACTGCATCCATATATCTCCTCTTTGTCCTTCCTCTTTGTCTTTTTCCTTGCAGCTGCATTTCTAACATCCTTCTACCAATATACCCACGGCCCCTCCTCTTGACATGTCCAAACCATCTCAGTCTGGTCTCTCCAACTTTATCTCCCAGTTGTTCAACCTGGGCTGTACCTCTGATGATCTAATTCCTAAACTTATCCAGCCTTGTCACTCCTAAGGAGAACCTTAGCATCTTCATTTCTGCCACTTCCAGTTCTTTCTCCTGTCTTTTGGTCAATGCCACTGTCTCCAGACCATACAATATAGCTGGTCTCACCACTATCTTGTAAACTTTTCCGTTGACCTTTGCTGACACCGTTTTGTCACAAATCACCCCTGAAACTTTTCTCTATCCACTCCATCCTGCCTGGACTCTCTTTTTCACTTCTTCACTACAGTTCCCATTTTCTTGGACAGTGGACCCCAAGTACTTGAAGTCCTGCACCTTTGTGACATCTGCTCCTTGTAGCCTCACTGTTCCACCGGCCTCCCTCTCATTCACACACATGTACTCTGTCTTACTTCGGCTGACTTTCATTCCTCTTCTTTCAAGTGCATACCTCTACCTCTCCAAGTTCTCTTCCACCTGTTCCCAGTTCTCACCACAGATCACAATGGCATCTGCAAACTTAATAGTCCATGGGGATTCTTGGCTGACCTCATCAGTTAGTCAGTCCATCACCAGAGCAAACAAGAAGGGGCTCAGAGCCGATCCTTGATGCAATCTCACCTTCACCTTGAAGCTATCTGTCACTCCTACAGCACATTTCACCACTATCCTGCTGTTCTCATACATGTCCTGTACCAGTCTAACATACTTTTCTGCCACTCCAGATTTCCTCATGCATTACCACAACTCCTCTCTTGGCACTCTGTCATATGCTTTTTCTAAATCTACAAAGACTCAATTGAGTTCTTTCTGACCCTTTCTGTACTTCTCCATCAGCATTCTCAAAGCAAAGATGGCATATGTGGTGCTCTTTCTTGGCATGAAACCATACTGCTGCTCACAGTCACCTCTCGTCTAAGTCTTGATTCCACAACGCTCTCCCAAATCTTCATCGTGTGGCTCATTAACTAATTCCCCTGTAGTTTCGACAACTCTGTACATCACCCTTTTTCTTAAAAATGGGCACCAGCACACTTCTTCTCCATTCCTGAGGCATTTTCTCACCCTCAAATATGCCATAACATTTGAGTCAAAAACCTCACTGCCATCTCTCTAAGACATTTCCAAACCTTCACTGGTATGTCATCAGGTCCTACTGCCTTCCCCTTCTTTATTCTTTTCAGAGCTTTCCAGACTTCACCCTCACTAATCTTTCCCACTACCTGGTCCACAGTTTCTATGACCTCTACTCTTCTTTCTCTTTCATTCTCGTCATTCATTAGCTCCTCAAAGTACACCTTCCATCTTCCCGTCACACTCTCCTCACTTGTTAGAACACTACCATTCCTATATTTAATAAGCCTAACCTGTTGCACATCTTTTCCAAACTGATCCCTCTGTCTTGCCAATCGATACAAGTCCTTCTCACCCTCTTTAGTGTCCAGTCTCCCATACAACTCACCGTACGCCTTCTGCTTTGCCTTAGCTACTTCCCTCTTTGCTCTACATCCCATCTCCTTATATTCCTGTCTCCTCTCTTCAGTCCTCTCACTGTCATATTTCTTCCTGGTTAATCTCTTTCTTTGAACAGCATCCTACACTTCACTATTCCACCACCAGGTTTCCTTATCATCCATTCTCTGTCCAGATGACACACCAAGTACCTTCCTACCTGTCTCTGTATTTACTGTTGTTGTAGTAGTCCAGTCATTTGGAAGCTCTTTCTTACCACCCAGTGCCTTTAACAGCTCCTCTCTGAATTTCTCACAACATTCTTCCTTCTTCAGCTTCGACCATTTGATATTTTTCTCTGATTTTATTATTTTTCTCTTTTTCACAACAACAGTCATTCTACACACAACCATTCAATGCTGTCTGGCCACACTCTCCCCTGCCACAACCTTACAGTCTCCAATCTCCCTCAGGTTTCCTCTTCTACCCAGAATGTAGTCGACCTGCGTACTCCTTCCTCCACTCTTATAGGTCACTCTATGTTCCCCCCTCTTTTGGAAATAGGTATTGACTACAGCCATTTCCATTCTCTTGGCAAAATCAACCACCATCTGTCCTTCCTGATGTCTTTCCTTAACACCAAACCTACCTATCACTTCCTCATCCCCTCTGTTTCCTTCACCAACATGTCCATTCAGGTCTGCTCCGATTACCGCTCTCTCCTCCCTGGGAATACTCTCTATCACTTCATCCAGATCTTTCCAAAATGTATCTTTCTCCTCCTCATCGCATCCAACCTGTGGAGCATAACCACTGACAATGTTGAGCATCAGACCTTCTACTTCTACCTTCAGGCACATCACCCTATCTGACACGCTCTTCACGTCTACTACATTCTTTGCCAACTCCTCCTTCAGGACCACCCCTACGTGATTTATCTTTCTATTCACACCATGGTAAAACAGTTTGAACCCTGCTCCAATGCTGTGAGCCTTGCTGCCCTTCCACTTGGTCTCTTCGACACATAAAACATCTACAAAGTACCTTCCTTCTCTGCATCATGTCAGCCAGCTCTCTACCTTTGCCTGTCATTGTTCCCACATTTAGTGTTGCAACCCTCAGTCCTACATTCTTCACTTTCCTCTTCTCCCTGTGTCTCCTGACATGTCCTGGCACAATTTCTGCCGTCACCCTGTTTGTCAACAGCACCGGTGGCGGTCGTTGTTAACCCGGGCCTCGAACTATCCGGTATGGTTTTGCTTTGATGAACTCGCATTATGGTTTTGGCAAAAGTGTTTTACATCGGATGCCATTCCTGACTCAACCCTCACCATTTACCTGGGCTTGGGACCCGCACAAGAGATACACTGGCTTGTGCTCCCTAGTGGCTGGTTTTGGGGCTCAATGAGACTAACCTGTATAAATAAAGGTTGAATGAATACTGGTGAAAAGATAATTTGTCAAGGACCAAAATTAACTTGCATTTAGTGCAAAATTATTATTTTTACTTAATTTTTTAGATTTTTATTTACTCTTCTTTTTTTATGGAGAGATTAAATTGTGTATTTTTTACATTAATTACCCTATACAGATATTAAGGTTCAACATGATGCTTCATCACTGTCAGTGTATGTGTCTAATGTCAGGAAAAGACCTCCAGCCGAACCAGGCTCAGGACGAATGGCCATCTGCTTCAACCAGCTGGGGTTTGAGAGGACGGGAATGAGAAGCAGACAAACACACAGTGTCAGGTCTAGGTGTACTTTCTATTTGAAGAAAGACAAAAAAAACAACACATATTAAGGATACAAATAATTACAAATACAAACAGGTAGAATAAAGCAAGTAAAGACAGCAGCAGAGTGAGGAAATGTAATCATTTTTTCCTCCAGCTGTCTAAGCTTATAGCAGTAAACTAGGAGATAGATCAGGAAATTCAAGCCAACCCTAACTATAGGTTTTATTAAAAAGGAAAGACTGAAGCAAGAAAATAAAGAAAACGGTGCTCCACTACCGTGGAAGAATTTTATTTACCTTGGGGAGACAGCCTGTTAATATATAAGAAAGCTCTCCATGAAGCTAGAGCTGTATATTATTCATCTTTAATAGATGAGAATAAAAATAACACCAGGTTTATGTTCAGTACTATAGTTAGACTAATGAAAATCATATCTCTGTTGAGACATGTATCCCTATGACTATAAGCAGTGACAACTTCATGAGATTCTTTATGAATAAAATTGTTTCAATTAGAGAAAATTCAAACCATCCTTACTACTATTGCCTCTGACTTCCTGTCAGATAAATACTGTTAACATACTTGTTGTGAATATGAATATTTCTGTTCAGTGCCCTGAGATAACTTCTGTTGTGACTTGATGCTATATACTGAATTGAAATTAAATAGATGAGGCAGATTTAGAAATGTCAGTAGAAACTGATTTATGTTTGGACTGTTCTATTTCGTATAAGCTTCACCCTTTAAGGCTGTCGCTTGGTGGGTTTATCCCGTTATGCGGAGCATTGCACTGAAAAATTTAGTCCATGCCCACCTGCTGTGTGGGCCCTACCCGGTCCGTATAAATTACGTTAAGAGCGGGAAATCGGCTCCCATTTTTTCTTCAGCAAGCTAATAGCACTGTCAGAAGAACAAGGAAGGAAAATTGTGTAGATGACCAACCTTTGTTAAGGATGCTTGGCCCGGCAGTCGACCTCCCATCGTCCGGTGAGTTCTCCTCCCCGAGGAGAAGCTG